AACCATAACGATTCTATGATTCTATGCTTGTGTTCTTGATTTGCCAATACCTTTGCTATATTATTAAAGAAATATTCTAACAATGACTTCTTGTTTTCTAGAAAATTTGTTTGCCTAAATGACAATATTGATCACAATCATAAGGATGCTCAGACAGTGAAAGCGGTGCTTAGGGATTTTTATGAATCAATGTTTCCCATACCTTCCCAGTTTGAACTGCCAAGAGAATATCGGAATCGTTTCCTTCACATGCATGAACTCCAAGAATGGTATGTTACATAGGTTCTCTTCAAGTTATTGTAGTGCGATACCATATAATTATAGAATATATTGGTGCAAGTAACTTTTTTCCCCAGTATTGTCATGAAAGAGTTAACAGTGGAAATAATGTGAAAATATTTGGACTAAAATTTGAGGTTTGCAGGGTTTGGGTTTTTCTGGTGCTCATAAAGTCATTAACATTTCATTGATTGGCTTTAACCTACTTCTAAGAAAAAGTAGGTTTTTGTTTGGTGGTTTTTTGTTTGTTTTAAAAAGTAATTCAGGACTTTTGGCTTTCTTTACATGTAAAAAAACCAAAACTATTGTTTGGAATGCCTGTTGCACTGGGGCAATGTAAACTGTTATGTTTCTCACTAAGTGATATTTTTTTTTTAATCTGTCAGCAATAATCAGCTGTATAATCATCGGAAAAGATACATGTATGTCTCATTTTTACATAATGTGTGAAATTTTTATGTGTGTTTACCTCTTGCTATTTTATAAATAATAACTTGAGAAATTTGGGTAGTTGATTTGAGGATGCAAGCAAAAGATTGGCAGGTACAGTGATAAAAATGAGACAAGAAGACTAGTATAGTAATTTTGTTGCTTATCAGCAAATTAGGAGAAATAGCTGTTAGTAAGGAAAGAGAAAGTATTAGAGGAACTGTAGAAGGAACCAGAAGGACTGTAGGTGATCAGAACAGGTGTAGATTGTAGTGCTACAAGCCCTGCTGTAGCACTGGCAGAGAGAGTCGGGGGCAAACCCATTGCAGCAGTTAGTTGCAGAAATTTGTGCTGGAAGAGTAGACATATTGTTGGTTCCCTTTTTTGAGGACATCTGTCAAGACTTTATTAGCTTCAAAATAATGCTTTATTTTGACCTGTTTGTAGCCAAAACAGATTTCTACCAGGATGGGTTAAAGCATGCTGAAGTGCTGGTGGAAATACGTGTTTATCAAAATGTCTTAGAGAATCATAGAACAGCCCAGATTGGAAGGGACCTAGAAGGATCATCTGGTCCAACATTTCATGGGAGATGGAGCCTCGATGAGATTATCTAGCACCCTGTCCAGTCGCATCTTGAAAACCTCCTGTGGTGGGGACTTTACCACATTCCTGGGGAGGTTGTTCCAGTGAATGATTGTTCTTACTGTAAAAAAATTTTCTTATCAAGATGAAACCTCTCCCAGTCCAACTTGTACCTGTTGCCCCTTGTCCTCTCCATGTGGCTCTCTGTGAAGAGAGTGCCTTTGTCCTCTTTCTAGCCACCCTTTGAGTACTGGAAAAAACTTTCTTTGCCTGTTTCATGGAAACTCTTTAGAGTTTATATATTTGCATTTATAATATATAAAGCTGTTTTTCTGTTTCATTCTTTTTTGTGCAGGAGGGCATATAGAGACAAGCTCAAATTCTGGACTCATTGTGTTCTAATAACACTTATTGTATTTACAGTCATCTCATTTTTTGCTGAACAGGTAAAACTCGTATCTTGTTATCAAAACTATAACACTTAACAAATTGCTGTATCTTCAGAATAATATAAGATGGATTTTAAGTTTTGAAGATTAGCTACGATTTTTCCTTCATAAAGGGAAGTAAAGATGTTACATGACTAAGGATTAGGTTGCTTCAATTTTTATGTCTTCATGTTGAGGTTCCATGAAAATAGTGTGTCATGGGGCAAAGGAGAGTGGTATTCCCTTTTCAGGCACCTTGTGACTCTCAAGTTCATAGTATGCTAAATTTGGATGCTCAAAATCAGTAATTGTTTTTGAAATCATTGGTCTATTAACACACATATTGGTAAAAGTGCAAAATAAGTTAACAGGAAGAAAATTTAAGTGATAGCAATACTCTAGTCCTGAAGAGAATCCTAAGGTATTTAGAGGCCTTATCTAAATTTCATCCCTAAGTAATTGCAAAGACTCCTATTGAATTCAAAAGGTTTTGAATCTGACTCAAAGGAAAACCCTTCCACTTCTGCAAGCATAAAATGGCTTTCTTGAACATGATTAATCCTGCTAAACTTAGAGGGAGTCAATGGAACAAATCATATGGGTAATTCTTTGCAGGTTGGGGCCTTAAGTAACACTTTCCGTGGTCTGATGAAGAGGGTGTAATTCTTGAAAGGTTGGCTTTTGATTATTTTTTTTTTTCCCACCTGTAACTTTTGCATGAATCTTTCCCTTGATTTTCAGCCTTTTGTATATATTAGAAAACTCAACCTCCACTAGTAACTTGGTTTTGAAAGGGAATACTCAACTCAGTAGTACAGCTAGGTATATAAATACTATTTTAATATGCCAGCTTTGTGCTGATCTTTTAGAAACTGAATGTAGCCTGGTGTTATATTAATTTAAATACACAAATTAACTTTAAAATAATCAGAATATAGGCATACTGTATTTTTCCATTTCTGCTTGTATTCTGGTTATTGAGAAGTGCAGTGGAAATACGCACACCTATAGATGCACACCTATTACACAAATAGATGAATTTGAGTAAATAATTTTCTTCCTGTGCAGTGAAAAATAAAAAAACAAAACAAAACCAGACAGTATTGACTTAATTACCATGGATGGTACAGATTTTATAGTTTCTAAGATGAAAGCCTGACCAGCTGTGCACCGCTAGCCTAGCAGAGAACTAAATATTGTATGGTTTTTCTCTCCTCAGATAATTGCACTTAAACGAAAGATTTTTCCAAGGAGAAGGATCCAAAAGGAAGTTGGTCATGAACGAATCAAAGTGTAGAAGAGCTTTATTTTGGAGATCACTCTACCTCAAGATGTGATAGGCATTTAAAATCTCTCTCTCATAAGTGTCTTATGGTTTGACATTTAACTATGTTGATAATGAAGAAAAAAAATCATGCATCTACAGTTAGAATCTCCGCAGTACTCTTCATGATATACAAGCTGCTGGAGCAGTGACAATGCAAAACAACAAAAAAAAATAATTGCAGGAAACCTGTACATAGGCAGTTTTCAACAGATCTTACTTTACAACTGCTAGTTCATGGCCATGTTATCCTTTTTTATAAAAAGGGTTACTTAAAGAAATGTAACTGCATTTATTGCAGTGGATGTTGCCAACTAGATAAAATGTTGGAAGGCAAAGTTGTTTGGGATCAGCTTAACAGGTCCTTGATCTTGCATTCTAAAACATTTTGCAAATTTCTGTTGTTGCTGCTTTTTTTTTTAGCCCTACGGGAAAATTGAGAATTATGTAACTTGTCATTTAGATTTAGTATACATTTATTGATGTTGACATTCTTTAAAGCACAGTGGCAATTCATCCCCCTATTTGTAGCATTTAATTTGGATTTGGAAGAAATGTATGCTAACAAAAAAGTACACAGTAACAGAACAACCAATGGTTATTTGAAAGATAGTTTATATCTGGTGTATTATATTCCAAAGAATACAAGGGTGTTGTTTCTTGCCTTGATTACAAAGAGAGGGTTGTAACCAAATGAAAATGATCAAGGTATAGTATTTTCCAAACATTGTAAATATAAAAGCAAAAGTGCCTCTCTATATGAATGGGTAACAAACTGTTTTAATATAGCAATGTATGGGAGCAGTGTTTCACTTCAGAAAACAATATTTGTACTGACATATGAAGCTTTGGTGTTTTTTAAATGTAACAGGGCTTGGCCCTATATTTTGCTGAGACATCAGAATAGTGCAGTTTTATGTGGGAAAGGATACTGAATCTTTTCCAGCAGAAATTTTTGGTGGTGTATCTTCAGTTAATTTTACTAGCAGTATTCAAAAAAGCATTAATTTTTGTGATCAGATGATGTACAAAATGTATGTGCATATGTATTGTAAGATACCTGGTTTGCTTTGAAATTAACTAAAATGTGATAAAAGTTTTGTCTGTTGTTTCTGTTTTAAAGTAAACAAACTCACCCATTTTGATAAATTAGCCATTAATGCATATGAATCCTTGTGTTAAAAGTTCTTATTTTTCCCTTAAAAAGCTTCCAACAGTAATAACTTTAATACTAATTTGAAGCATGAATGGGTTCTCAAAGTAGAATCAAACTTTTGAGCATTGTAAAAATGCAAGCACTTTTAATTATTAAGGTTGTATTTCATGCTAGCAATATATATTGTGCTGAAATGTAGAATATAAATATGTAGTTTAAATCTGCAGTGCTTCAGACTAGCAGAAAATGAGACATTTTAAGAAATACAAGAAAGTTTTGATAGCTTCTTCCACTTCAAACTATAATTGGGTACATTCAAGTTTGACTAGGATCTGTTTTTTTAAAAAATTATATTTGGCATTCTAATCAAAATAGTTGGAAAAACTTGGTTGAAATTTTAAGGCAGTTTTTCTGCTGAAGTTTTGCATAAATAAACAGATTGCATAGGTAGCTCAGCTCTCACTGCAGTTCCTTTTTGTTTAAGCAAAGTTTTGAAGGTGGATTCATGCCATTTTGTTTTGTTACAGCACTAAGAGCCCAAAAGATGTAGCATAAACTTACTGAGAAGCATTCCTTGAAAATCACTGCTAAGATCTGTGTGCACGGTACCTGCAAAAAAAGCAAGTGGGTGAAGCAGGATAAGATGCAAACAGTATTGTGGTGGTAATCAAGTACACACCACTCAGTCCTGCCAGTAGGATGAAGGAGGGAACTGGAAAACATGCGGATCAAGATAAAGCCAGTTTCGTAAGTTGAAGGGGGAGGAAGAATCACAAAACCAGGTGATGCAAAGGGAGATACTGAGTTAAGTTACTCTACCTCCCAAAAGCAGACCGATCCCCAGCCGGTCTCGGAGCAACAGCCACCTTGGAAGGATTTGCCTCCAGTTTTATTGCAAAGCCTGATGTTGTATGGTATGGAGTACCTCCTCAGTCAGTTCAGGTCAGCTGTCCCAGCTGTGTCCCCTTCTCCCACCCCACTCCTGGCTGGGGGGGGCAGAGCAAGGCCTGGGTGCTGTGCAGGCCCTGCTCAGCAACAGCTCGCACCCCCTCCGGATCAAAGCACTGCTTTGGTCGCCAGTATAAAGTGCAGCGCCACAGGCGCTCTGCTGCGAGGAGTTAACTCCACCCCAGCCAGACCAAGTGAAAACTTAAACTTAGCTGAGGAAATACTAAGTAAAATTTCTCAAATGGTTGAGGTTGAGAACACCGAAAATGGAAATAGTGTTAGGATTTCATTTTTTTTAAATCTAGATTTTGTATTTTGTCTTTCTAAGAGCAAAATAACTGGCTGAGGACAGAAAATCCTGCAAGAACAGTAGAGAAATCTGAAACTTAAAGCATGTACTTTGTAAAATTAATCTGACTGGAGAAATACTGCCTGATTGCATTGACTTACAAAAAAATACTCCCTTGGCATCATACACCAGAACGAGTTAGTTTGCAGACTATTTGTTGTCTAAATGAGAAATTAAAGCCATTTCTGTAAAAACAGATAAAGCTAGGTGAGGCTTAAACAAGTGTAATGCTGAATCTGCACAACGCGCCCGCCCTGGACCGCAGCTACCGCTGCTGCGGGCCCCGTGGAGTGTGTTACTGCGCATGCGCCGCCTCCCCTTTGTGCTGTCCGCCCGGCTTCCCGCCTTTTCTCGGGAGTGGGAGGGGCTGCTGAGGCCGGACCGTGTCCGGTCATCCCTGTCTGCCCTTCTCCCTCGGGAGCGGCGCGGGGGCGCCGGAGGAAGCGTGAGGGCTGTGAGAGGCTCCGGTGCGAGTAGGGGTGAGGGGTTTGGGACAGAGCGCTGTTCCTTCTGCTTGCGGGAAGGTGTTAGGAACACTGTGTCCCTGCTGCTGGTGGGTCTCCTCCGTGGGAGGCTGCAGTGGTGGCCGTGGTGGGCGCTGTGCGGGGATGAGGTGGTGAGAATGGGGAAGAAGCCATCACAGGGCAGAGGCAGAGGTAGAGGGATGAAAGGTGTTTGGGCAGAGAGAAGGGAATGAGGTTAGGACACCATGGTGCCCTTCAGACTTTGACCCTCCAGCGGCTTCCCCCCGAAACCTGTGGTGGTGGTGTGGTGCGGGCCCAAGTCTCCCTTGCTGCTCTGAGGTAAAAACAGGTGGGCCCCCATGGTGAAGAGCCCCGCATAGGAAATTCATACAAATAATGGTTTATTTGACATCTTTTTTGGGCAGAATGAAAAAAGGACGTGAGTTTCTCAGAAAAACTGTTAGACACAACTGTGGATTGAAGATACTTGAATCCGCTAAAGTGGGTAGCTACATAGGATGGGTGATGGCTGCATGGGGTTGTGAGGTAGCAAGATTGTTTTACAGTGTACAGAGGAACTGGGGAGTTCTGCTTTGTATACAGATTTTCAGTACAAAGAAAAGTCCCTGTATGTGAGATAAAAAAGCTTGCAGTTTAAAGTTGATGTGCTTTGTTTGGCAGCTGTCCTGGTTTGGCTATAACAGGACTATTTCTCCTTTCAGCAGGTTTTCTTTCAGTTCAGTTTCTTCTAAGTAACTGCACTTTCTGAAATTAGCTACATGTTTTTCAGACTCTGTCTCCTTTCAGAAATGATAACGCTTGATGTTCATAGTTGTTACTGAAGTAACGATAGGATTGGTATGCAGAAAGGCCCATGTTTATACTTATTCCTGTGGGAGCCACGGTCACTGCTGGCTCTTATTATGTTCCACAAGTGAAAAGAGGTAAAAGGGTCGCATCTACAGTTACCAAAACCTGACCAACCAGGTATTCCCTTCCATACACATCATACTCTGTATAAAGCTAAGGGATCACAGCGGTCAGCCCACTCTTCCTTCATGGTCAGCATCCCTGTGGGACCCTGCTTGTTCTCCTGCCTCTGATG